ATTTGTCCACCGCATGTAAAAAGGGTAAGAAAGAAAAGAAAAATATAAAAACACAAAATAAATTTTTGTATGATAATAATGATGATAACGAAACAGTTAATTATGATCTTTCGAATACTTTTTTTTCCAYAATTGATCAAAATTTTCAAAATAAAGCGGTGAAACCGTTTACAGTTAACTCTTTGAGGGTCAGTGGTTAGTATGCTAACCACTTTTTTTTTACCTTTCAAGTGCGGTGGTTACTATATTAACCACCTTTTAAATTATTTTTATTATTTTTTTGACGGTGGTCAGTATACCAACCGGCAACCATCTTATTATCAGCTTATACATATATCAAACAATATCACTGCCACTGGTCTGATATCATTTCYCGCGTTTTTAATCATTTATTATCATTATCAAAATTTTGATATACGTATTAAATTTTCTGCTAAAGAGATATTGATTAAAAATCAAAATTAAGATATCCAATTTTAATTGTTTTATTAAATACTCAATTAATAGTAGTAATTAGATTTATTTACACGATAACGGTAAGTAAATAACTTTAATTAGGTTCATTATTGGTTTGTTGTAAATGTGGTTTCTATATTGACCACTGTAYAGTTTTGATGGTAATAGTAACTAGTAGGTAGTATAATATATTAGTRCAAATTAGTAAACATATTTTGTAGATGAATATTATAAATGATGATGACATTGAAAATTTCCTGCTTGATATTCTTAGTGATGGTGAAAGTTTCTCTGGTGTTTCTGAATTAGATGATAGTGATAATGATAAAACATATACTCCAAGTAACACTATATTACATGACATATCAGCTAGTTCAAGTGATTCAAATGATGAGGAGCATTATCATAATCAATTACTTACACCCCCAGTTAGTATTTTTATTACAAATATTTGCTAAGTATCTACAATATTATTATATGTTTCTATTATGATGTATAAATATATGTGCATATAATATGTGTAATCCTCTACAGTTAAAATATACTACATAATACTTACTATGTACCAWTTTATATTTAATGTTGACTATATAATATGTGTATTGTGTTATATTCCTATTTTTTATATGACATAATTAAGAAATTACTTTTTTTGAACTACATAAGTACATAGTAAGTACATGTTGTATACTATAAATGTGAATGATTACATATTATATTATGGTAGCATAGTATATATACCATTCACAAACATATTTTATATTGAATTAGGCTAACCCTAGAACCTCTAGATCTTCTAAAACAATTAGTAAGCCAATCCAACAAGCAGTACCATCATTTGAACCTCCATATACACCTCCTTTATGGGGAAAATCAGAATTAATGCCTCCAGTTGAATTRTTTTCTGACGATTTGCCTTGTGGACCAGCTGAAATTTTTGAAGAGCTTGAAGATAAATCACCATATAATATATTTTGCCAAATATTTGATAAAAACTTGATTGATCACATAGTTTTCCAAACTAATCTTTATGCTACTCAGATAGGAAAGCCATTTACACCTATTTATGATGGTGGAATTAGAGTTTTTATTGGATTAAATATGTGCATGAGTGTTAAACGTCTTCCAAGCTATCKGGACTATTGGTCTAGTGCACCAGATTTGCACGATGAATATATATCAAGTATGATGAGTGTAAAAAAATTTAGTTGGCTTCTATCACACATCCATTTCAATGATAATCAACTTCTACCAAAACGAGGGGAAGCCAACTATGACAAATTATATAAAATTCGGCCATTATTGGATTATATTGGTCAAAACTTTTTAAATTCATATAGACCTCACAGGGATGTCGCTGTTGATAAAGCCATGGTAAAATTCAAGGGTCGAAGCTCACTGAAGCAGTATATGAAAGATAAACCAGTAAAAAGAGGTTACAAGGTGTGGATGTTATGTGATAGTTCTGGGTACAATTTAAAATTTGAAGTGTATACAGGTAAAAAAGAAGGGACAGTTGAAGCTGGTCTAGGGGGTAGGGTAGTACTTGATTTATGTAAGGAATTGGAAAATAAAAACCATGTTGTTTATATGGACAWYTTTTTTTCAAGTAATATACTTTTTGAMAATCTGTTGACTAAAAAAATATATGCTTGTGGAACTGTTAGAGCTAATCGAAAATTTCTTCCAACACTTGAAAGCGACAACCAGTTGCAAAGAGGTGAATATGATTGGACAACAAGCAATAAGGAATTGGCTTTTTATAAATGGAAGGATCGAAAAGCAGTTCATATATTATCTTCTCTTCACTCACCAGATGACAAAGTATTTGTCAACAGGAAAGAAAAAGATGGGAGTACTTCTAAAGTTCCATGTCCTTTAGCATTGAAGGATTATAATTCAAATATGAACTTTGTTGACAATTTTGACCGTCTAAAAAAAGATTACCAGTGTRATAGAAAAAGTCATAAGTGGTACATGAGACTGTTTTTCCATTTTATTGATTGCTGTGTTGTCAATTCATTTATTATTTACAAAGAATTGGATACAGATGGTAAAAAATTAACTAATAAAGATTTTCGTAGAGAAGTTTACACAGGTTTATTATCTAAAAAATTAGTTTATTTGCAATCCCCATCCATAGTGAAAAAAAGAACTAAATCAAATACTGAAATCTGTAACCATAAACCACATGTATCAAAACATTTGAGACTGACTGAATCTAAGCATCAACCATCTCAATGCAGTAGTAGAAGGTGTGCGATGTGTTCAACCAAAAAAAAACCACAAAGAACAAAATGGATTTGTTCTACTTGTAAAGTTCCTTTGTGTATCAAGAATGGAAAAACTTGCTTTCAAGATTATCATACAAAATAATTTGTATTAAATTAATATTTTATTATTATTAGTTACCTATTTCAGAAGGATATACATTTATTTTATTTTGAGTGATCTATGCTGCTTATTTAATTTTATACAATTGTTTTTATATAAAAAGGGTTTAGTTTTGTTTTTTCATTTTCTAGATTGTTTATAAAATATTAAATTGTTTGTTATTATTTATCTATTTCAAAATGGTATTTATTTCACTATTATAGCAAAAATAGTACCTACATTGATATATATTCGATATTCAGTCTAAATACATTTTTGTATATTTGTTAGTTGCAGGGCTGGAAGTAAGTCACTTTTTTTTAACTAAAAGTCACTTTTTTAAAATTGTGTCACTTTAAGTCACTTATTTAGAAAATTAGTCACTTATGTCACTTATTTTCAAAATGTACCTAAATTTAAATTTGAAATTTTGAACTGCATATCGACTGCCCCAACGAAAGAGGTCGTAACTCCCTTTTACAAATTTTTTTTTTTTGTTTTTCAATGTCATGTGGTATAACTTTTTTTGATTGTGGCATTAATTAATTAAACAAAGTCTGTTGTTCTATGGTCTAAGGTTATTACCATGATTTCATGACAATAATAATGTATTGTTTAACTACTATCATTGATTATATTTTCCCGCTAGTTTTTATTGTCTCTGTTATCATAAGTCAATAAGTCATACCGTTTTATATTTTAA